TCTCCAGATAGTAAGGATGGCGCAGGAGTAGGTAGGATTTCGTTCTGATGCAACGCCACCGAACAAAAACATATTATTTATATGATGAAGTTTTTTAAACACTAAAGTGCTTCATAGGTCTATAACTCCCTTTTGCATTAAAAATAGACTTGACCTAACTCAAAAATTGAATACAAACTGCATTATTTTTCACCATCATGGGTGGAATTACTTGACAAAGAAATTCAGCATCAATGAGGAGTCTGATTACTTTTGAGTGACAACTAATTTAATTTCAAATGAAGGAGAAGCAAACATCTGAATGGAAAAGAAAATCCAAATGACAGTATTTATTGTTTTCTCTCCTTTGAAGAAAAATGGCCATTTTCAACTTTTTTTTTTTTTCCTTTAAAGGTGCTAAAATTTCTGTCTAAATGTGTTTTGGCATACACAGTGAGATTTTTCTAAGAATTGATGGTAAGAAAAAGTCTCCTGCAATCACAGGAGGTCAGGGATAATTAATTTTTATAAAAGGTAATGTATTATTAATATTTTAAAACTCATTTATATTCATATTTTCTAAAAATGTCTTGGTGTCATAATTGATAGCAATAATTATCTGGATATTCTGCATTTAATAACAGAAGTAAACTTTTTCATTAAAATTGGTTTCTGGAGTCATACAGATTGATTTCCTACTCTATTGTATTTTCTGATCTCAATTTCCTTTAACATGTTAACGCGGAGTAAAACAACAGAAAAAGTTTAAGTCTAATGCTATTTAAAAGATAGCATGTAAAAACTACAGGACAAGTGCAAAAATAATGATAATTTTTGTTGAAATAGAATTATGAACCAAAGAGATAGAATCAGACATCTAATATTTCTTTAGTTTGTTATTATTGTTGCTAAGTACCATCGAGTTGGTTCCAACTCACAGCAATCCTGCATAATAATTTCTGAGAAGGAGCTGGTGGGTTTGAACTGCCAACTTGTGGCCTGAAGTCCATTACTGATCCTACAGCACCACACCAGGGAGAGTTTTAAAATTTAAGTTAAAATAACGATATTTTTTCTGTCTTTAAAAAATTAGTAATGGAAGAAGAGCACTGTCATGTAGTAAAAATACCAATGGAAATTTTGACAGCTTAATCCCATTTGTTCTTTGCTAGTTTGAGTCTGAGTTTCTTTACTGAAAAACAAAAGTTCCCCATTGTATACTCTAGTTTAAGTATTTTAATATTCTACAAATGAAGCCCTTTATTTTTAAAATCAATCCTTTTATGCTGTTTTAAGTAACATGAAGATGTAGGAGCTGTATTTTATTCAGAATGTACTAAAAATACCATATATGCTAAATTTATAGAAATTGAAGTTATTGATTAAAAACTGAAAACACTGGGGAAATTTACCTTTCCATTATCTTTCTATAACATGCTTTTAATGCACTGAGAGCAGTAAATAAGAGTAGTAATTCCAAGGTGAAATTAAATGATATTTTACAGACATATTTTTCACAACAGAAAAACAAAATTACAAGACACATTCGTTATTGTCCATGTCTTACAGAAAAGACATTAGACAGACTCAGTGTTAACTATATTCTCACTTAGTGCTTATTATTCATTTAACCAATTGCCATTCAGTAGATTCCAACTCATGGTGACCCATGTGTGTCAGAAAACTGTGCTCAAGGGAATTTTCAATGGCTGCTTTTTCTGAAGTATACTGCTAGCTAGGCTTTTGTTCCAAGACACCCCTTGTTGTTGTTGTTGTTAGGTGCCATCGAGTCGATACGGACCCATAGTGACCGTATGCACAGCAGAACCTAAACACTGCCTGATCCTGGGCCAACCTCACTACTGCTGCCACTCTTAAGTTCATCGATATTGCCACTTGGCCAGTCCATCTTGTTCAGGATCTTTCTCTTTTTCTCTGACCCTCCAACTTACCAAACATGATCTCCTTCTCCAGCGACTGGTCCCTCCTGACGATATGTCCAAAGTATGAAAGACGAACTTTTGCCACCTTGGCCTCCAAGGATCACTCTGGCTGCACTTCTTCCAAAACGGATCTATTGCTTCTTTTGGCGGCCCATGGCACTTTCAATATTCTCCTCCAACACCATAACTCAAAAGCATCAATTCTTCTATGGTTTTCCTTATTCACTGTCCAGCTTTCGCATGCATATGATATTATAGAAAATACCATGGCTTGGGTCAGGTGCACCTTAGTCTTCAAGTTGACATCTTTGTTCTTCAACACTTTTAAAAGGTCTTGCGCAGTAGATTTGCCTAATGCAATACATTGTTTGTTTCTTGACTGCTGCTTCTGTGAGTGTTGATAGTTGATCCAAGTAGAATGAAGTCCTTGACAACTTCAATCTTTTATCCATTGATAAGAATGCTGTTTATTGGTCCAGTGGTGATGATTTTTGTTTTCTTTACCTTGAGATGTAATCCATACCGAAGGCTGTGCTCTTTGATCTTCATCAGTAAATGTTTTAAGTCCTCTTCACTTTCAGCAAGCAAGGTTGTATCATCTGCATATCGCAGGTTGTTAATGAGTCTTCCTCCAATCCTGATGCCACGTTTTTTCTTCATCAAACCCAGCTACTTGGATTATTTGCTCAGCATACAGGTTGAATAAGTAAGGTGAAAGAATACAACCTTGTCGCACACCTTTTTAAATTTTAAACCATTCAGTGTTGCCATGTTCTGTTCAAACAACTGCCTCTTGGGTCAGATACAGATTCCTCATGAGCACAATTAAGTGTTTCGGAATACTCATACTTCGCAATGTTGTCCATAGCTTGTCATGATCCACACAATCAAAAGCCTTTGTGTAGTCTATAAAGCACACGTAAACATCTTTCTGATATTCTCTTCCAGTCAAGATCCATCGCACATCAGCAATGATATCCCTCATTCCACGGCTTCTTCTGAATCTACCTTGAATCTCTGGAAGTTCTCTGTCAATGTATGATTGTAGCCGTTTCTGTATTACCTTTACTAAAACTTTACTCGAATGAGATATCAAAGAGATTGTCTGATGATTTCCGCATTCCGTTGGGTCACCTCTCTTTGGAATGGGCACAAATATGGATCTCTTCCAATCAGTCAGTCAGATACTTGTCTTCCAAATTTCTTGGCAGAGATGAGTAAGTGCATCCTGTGCCACCTCACTTTCTTGAAAAATTTCAATGTTTATTCCATCAATTCCTGGTGCCTTGTTCTTTGCCAATTCCTTCAATACACCTTGGACTTCCTCCTTCAGTATCATTGGCTGTTGATCATATGTTGCCTCTTGAAACGGTTGAACATTAACCATTTCCTTTTGGTACAGTGACTCTGTGTATTCCTTCCATCTTCTCTTGATGCTTTCTGCATCATTCAGTAATTTGCCCAGAGACTCTTTCAATAACGAAAGTCGAGGCTTGAATTTTTTCTTCAGTTCCCTTAGCTTGAGAAATGATGAGTGTGTTCTTCCTTTTTGGTTTTCTGATTTACAAAGATTTGCACATTTGTTGTAATATTTGGCTTTATCTTCTCGAGCTGATCTTTGAAATTTTCTGTTCAGCTCTTGAACCTCTTCATTTGTTCCATTTGCTTTAGTATCTCTACGCTGGACAGCAAGTTTCAGTGTCTCTTCTGACATCCATTTTGACCTTTTCGTTCTTTCTTGACTTCTCAATGGCATTTTGCTTTCTTCATGTATGATGTTCTTGATGTCATCCACAACTCTTCTGGTCTTTAGTCTTTAGTGTTTAATGTATCAAATCTGTTCTTCAAATGATCTCTAAATTCAGGTGGGATATATTCAAGGTCATATTTTGGCTCTCATGAACTTGTTTTCATTTTCTTCAGCTTCAGTTTGAATTTGCATATGAGTAATTGATGGTCTGTTCCACAGTCTGCCCCAGGCCTTGTTTTCACTGATGATATGGAGCTTTTCCATCGTCTCTTTCCACAGATGTAGTCAATTTGATTTATATGTATTCCACCTGGTGAGGTCCATGTGTATAGTCATCTCTTATGCTGTCTAAAGAAGGTATTTGAAATGAACAAATCATTGGTTTTGCAGAATTCTATCATGCGTTCTCCAGCATCATTTCTATCACCAAGTCCGTATTTTCCAACTACTGATCCTTCCTCTTTGCTCCCAACCTTTGCATTCCAATCACCAGTAATGATCAATAATGATTGCATGTTTGATCAATTTCAGGTATACCACTACTATTTTAAATACCAGCAGGGTCACCCATGGTGGACAGGTTTCAGATGAGCTTCCAGATGAAGACAGACTAGGAAGAAAGTGTGACGAAATACTTCGGAATATTTAGTTACTGAAAACCTTATGAATAGCAGATAAAGATACCTTTAGGTGGACCGAAACTGACAACCTTTTGATTAGCAGCTAAATTAGTTAACTGTTTAGAGTATTTTCATGGGCAGCAGCAATAAGTTAATAGGCTCCTGGTTTCTTAGGAACCTAAGATTTTATGGGTGCTTTGAGCCATTGGTAGCTTAGTGGTAGAATTCCTGCCTTCATGCCAAAGGCCCAAGTTCAATTTGCAGCCAATATATTTCCTGTGCAGCCACTGTTCAGTAGAGGCTTGTGTGTTATTATGGTGCTGGACAGGTTTTAACAGAGCATCCAAATTAAGACAGACTAGGAAAAAAGTGCTGGAAATATACTTCCAAAAACCAGTCAATATAAACTCTGTGGATCTCCATGACTGGTCATAGGGATGAGGCAGGACCAGATAGTGTCTTATTTCATTGTGCATGGGGTCACCATGAGTTATGAGATGACATAAGCAGCAAACGACAGCAATAATGGGTGCTTTACCATGTATACCTTTAAGACTGACCTTACAGTTGAGTAGAAATAATAATGATAGTATGATAGCAATGATTGTGAGAATGATTAATAACCTTTCTACAACAGGATAATTGCACTAGTGTTGTTACTTGGGAAAATGAAGAAAAGAAAGGATCATGTGTAAATATTAGTAGTACCTCTATAGTTGATGATTTCTGTCCCAAGCACCGGAGTCATCTCCAGGACTGTGATGAAGGCTTTGTCCATAGAAGTCAAAGGAAACGGAGACATGCGGTGCCTCCTAGCCACCTTGGTAATATCAACAGCACTGTGACCTAAGCAGGAAGATAATTAAGAGAATATGATGCCGGAACATTGATTAAAAGTGAGAATCACTTATAAATATCAGTAACTCCAGAGTTCAAATGGCCCCAAATGAAGACTGAAAGGTGAGAAATTATTTCTCCTGCTTTCAAAATACAGCCTGCCCTGGTATCTATTAGCAATGCTATATTATGTGTCAAAATTTCCTGAAATTTAATAATGATATTGGCTAATTCTTTTTGAATGCTTTCTATATGTCAGCTACTGTTCTAAATGAATTAGTTAATTCTTATGGGAGAGTGCCATTATCATCCTTATTTATCGATGAAGAAATAGAGACCTAGAGAGATTATACATCTTGGCCTAAATCACACAGCCAGTAATAGAAGGGCCAGGATTCTAACCTAGGTAGTTTGACTTCAGAGCCCATGCTTTCAACCAATACACTAACTTCTGAATACTTAATGAACTAGTTAATAAAATGAAGAACTCTAAACTGGTATTTCTTTAGGACTTTGTAAGTTTTCTTTCTTGTGAAAAAAGGTCATGTTATAAGGAGATTATATATCTACTCTACTCCCTACATGACATTGTACAGTCCCATGGTGTTAAGTATCACCCATACACTGACTCATAATTTTGCATCTCTAATCCCAACCTCTGTCGTCAACTCTAGATTTTTATATCATCTAATATCTAGTAGATAATATACATTTCAAGACTTGTAAATCATTCAACAAGCACTTGGTAGTGGTAAAAGGCAGCTCAGAATTAACATATATAAAATCAAACTAGATTCTATTACTCCCATTCCATTCACGTGATACCTTATTCTCCTGCAATTCCCACTTCAGTATATGAGAGAAAGTGAAAAAGTATTGCTACAATATTATAGAAACCTTTATTAAACAAAAATATTAAAATGTGAAACTATACTGTCTTGACATGTTGTTGTTGTTAAGTACTGTGGAGTTGGTTCTGACTCATAGTGACCCTGCACAGGGTTTCTGAAGCTATAAATCTTTAAGGGAGCAGAACGCCTCATCTTTCTCCCGCGGAACTGCTAGTAGTTTCAAACTGTTGACCTTGAGGTTGGCAGCCTGACTCGTAACCACTATGCTACCAGAGCTCCTTAGTATCTTGACATATCCTCCACCATTATACCCTTCTGAAGATGGTGTTCCCATCTCACTAACCCATTCCCAAAGATTTCTGTGCTCTCCAATTTATATTATGTCAAAACAGCAGAGGCTCAGATTCTTTCTGTTCCTTTCCATTGTTCTTTTAGTTTGGGGAACAAAAAGAAGTACGAAGGGGAAAGATCAGCGCTGTAGGGTGGATGGGGTAAGGTCTCCCAAGGAAATTTTTGTAGGATAGCCCTTGTTCCCATACTGACCTCTGGGTTTTGAATCTGATCTGACACTTTTTTGAAGATGTCCTAATGAGACTAAGATGTGAATTACTGAGGCAATTTTTCTGCAGCCATCCACTGATCACAAAGGCATATTTAAACATATCTTCCTTGGAATAAACTCAGGTGTATAAGAACTAAAACCCTAATAGCAATACTTTTTGACTAGTTGTTGTTAAGTGTTGTTGAACTGGTTCTGACTCATATCTCACTTTTCCTGTGAATTGGGTGGAGGTTTACAGAGCAAATTAGTTTTCCAGTTAATAATTCATATACATTTTGTTTCATGTCATTGATTACAACCCCTACAATATAACATCACTTATCCCACTTTGTTGTTGTTGTGGTTGTTGTTAAGTGCTGTGGAGTCAGTTCCAACTCATAGCGACACTGTACAGGGTTTCTGAGGTAGTAAATCTTTACAGGAGCAGAGAGCCTCATCTTTTCCCGCAGAACAGCTGGTAGTTTCGAACTGCTGACTGGGAGTAGCAGCCCGATTCGTAACCACTAGGTCAGCAGTTCGAAACTATCAGCCGCTCCGCGGGAGAAAGATGAGGCTTTCT